TAGAAATCCAAGGGCTTGCAAATGTAAGATTATTTTGATTGTGCATGTCATTTCCTTCTAGATTATATATATCATTCACTAATTTGCTTTGATTCACCTATTATTTATTACTTTTGAGATAAAAAATGTAAAAGTTCTGTTTCAGATATACATTTCTATTTGTACAGACAGGATAATAGTGGAGCATGTGTTTGTACAGGAAGCCGCCGAACTGAAAAAAAGAAACCTGCTGTTGTCACCTGCTGTTATGTCTCTAATCCCATAGTATGCCCAAGCTTCCACTTGGATTGTGCAGGCAGGCATCAGCTGAAAGACATAAAAACAGCGAAATATAATATATTATGATCATTGCATCAAACATCATTCATTTGTTCTTAAACAATATTACTGACCAGAACAAAACATGTTTCTGAATGAAACATAGCAAAAATCACCTAGCCTACAGAGGCACCCTTACGAAAATTAACCATGGTTTTACTACAAATAAAACCAAAAAACCATGGTTACTATAGTTAAACCATGGTAACTACAAATTAACCATGGTTTTGCCACACTAACCATAGTTTAACCATGGTATTTGTAGTAAAACTGTAGTTATACAAATGGTAATCAATGCGCCAAAAAAACATGGTTACTACACTTTTACTATAATAAAAACATGGTTAATTTTCGTAAGGGTAGCGATTCAAATTTGCATTTGTGGATCAGGCAACACACGTGCATTCATTCACATCTCTTCTGAGCCGATTCTATTTGATTCATTTGAATTTTGAGACTTTCATTCCGCCCTTTTAGCCTTGCGCAATCCACACACACACAGCTCGCGATCCACGAGCAGCTGAGACACAGAACATCTTTTACTATAATAAAAACATGGTTAATATGCAGCTTAATATGAAGTCACACGAAAATCAAATCAAATACGAAATCAAAATGGGCACAATTGTTTTACGTTCTGTACTTTATAATCAACATTCCAAAAATCTACCTATATAAGTTATATTCCATCGCTAGAAACAAAGACAACTTAAAGGTGCAATAGGTGATTGTCTTCAGAAACATTTTTTGTTATGCTGGTTGAAAGTCTCTTCACATCCCGATAGCAATCATTAAGTGGTCTAAATGTATTTATCTGTATTTATATATTCTGTGGAAGGCGTAGCACCAAGAAATGTTCGTCCAATCAAAACGCTCGGTCCGAGCATTTTAATTGGCTTTCCTAACTGCCTGTCAACTTATGTATCTGCATACCTCTGCGCACCCTGTTCGCGCAGACAGGATACGTCATCAGCATGTTCACGCACGCTGTGCAGACAGAGCGAGAATGGCAGACAAACATCAACAAGCCAATCTTCCTTCATGGTATTGTAGTACTTTTACTAACTGTACTACAAAGTTTTCTCACCGGGTGAATGACACATGATGTAGCCCAGCGATTCCCAAATCCAGTCCTCGCACAAGGGAAGCAGGGGAAACATATATGCTCGCTTCGAACTGGAATCAAGGCGGAATATCCGGTGATGTACACTTCCCAGGACACTCCCGGTCGAATAGAACAAACATCGCACGTGATAAGAGATACATATGAAATCTGCAGAGCAGGAGGGCGTGAGGATTGGAATTGGGAACCGCTGATGTAGCCTATAGTAATGTTGTCTCTGGTGTTCTGGTCTGTGAGCGTAAATGCATTCAGAGGGCGTGGCTTTGGACGGTGATTGCAGGGAGGGTGGGACGTCCGCTATCAGTGCTATCAGGCTAAAGTTAGCATTTTCCATGATCTCCTACTACACCTTTAATTCAGCTCACAGACTGATTCAAACGGTAACTCCTGAGTTCGTGAATCATTCAAATAGCCGGTTCATTAGAGTCGTTTGTTATTGAATCAAAGTCAAATCAATTGAACAAATAGATTCGCAAAATGATTCACTCACTATTTTGAAGCACTCGAAATATGTAAACACCTTTTGGATAAAGCCGTGAAAATACAACGAGAACACCGCAAACATGTTCATGGTCTACAAACAGTTTTCAATAAACAGCGATTTTTTTTGTCTAATGTATAATGTCAATAAATCGTGTTCAATTAACGTTCTTTTTACAATATTTAGTCTTTACGCGCTACGTTCTTCACTTGTAAAAGGTCAATCTTGTTTTTTTTTATTTTTTGTTTTTTTATAATCTATATCGAGAATATTCAACTGAAGTTTTACATTTATAATTTAAGTGTATTATTTGGAACAGCCTAATTTAATTTAATTATATAGTCTAAATTTAAATGAAATGGGGAAAAGGCCACATTTGAAGGCTTTGATGAACTACTGATCTTAAACAATGTCTATCATGTAATAGTGTAAGTGGGCTTCTGGGCATCACAGAAAAAACATTACAATGGTCTTAACCTCTTTTGGAATATTTACAGCATGATCATGGGTTTCTGCCATGGGCTTCGAACAGAAGGGGTGTCAACTGTCAACAAGTACATGTAGTTTCTGGAAGGGAGAGAAAAATCCTGCCCTAATTTGACCGTCTGTCTTCGTCCTGTATGTTCTCTGTTTTACACACACACAATAACTTGTGTTCACTTTTACTCTCTGCATCTGTCAGGTTTCATTGGTGTCTCGCACTTAAGATGTCATCTCCGTGAGACGGCCCCTTCCCTAGGGTCTCACTGGTAGATGGAACAACATGGTAAAAGGTCAGTGAAGCAATGAACAAGAACCAGCACGACTGCCATTGGCTACAATACAACGAACAAGCCAACTCTAATAAACACACACACACTATTTAAAGACACTTTGATTGTTTTACTGTTATAAATACTAAAACCTAATCATAATCCACATCCTAATAGAAAACTTGCATTTTTACATAACATTTTTTATTTCGGTGTTAGTCATTTTTGTACTTTTTTTGTACTTACATTTATTTTATTTCAGTTAGATGCCAATACAACATATACAATTTTTCATCTAATATTTATAATTGATTTTATTTTAACTGTATTTCAATGAATGAAAACAATTCTTATTGTTAATTTTAGCTAAAAATAAAAACAATGCTCCAAGGTACGTCCAAGAAAACCGTGGTACATGATCAAAGCTAATGGCAATATCGTGTTACTTTTTGATACTTTTTTTGAAGTGACTGAATGATGGTACATGGTATCAGATAATGCTGTGAAATACTTACTGAAATGCACAGATTTTAGTAATCTGTGGTATTTAGATGGCAGTTATCACATAGCAACTTGGCAACAGCCACTCAGAACACCTTAGCAACCACATTGCAATGTGCACTACTTCCTTCTGAAAATGTAAAAATATCCTTCAAAAGCATGTATACAGCCAAAAAGAGGGTTAGCATACAATTAGATGAACTCTGCTAAGCCTGCTGAGGTTAAGCCATATAAAGACTAAATCTATACAAAAACTGACAGGATGCACTTTGAAAGAGACCGAGATCGTCAGCATCGGTTATGAGGCGTTCATAACTATGAGTGATGCTGCTTTTGTTATTTGCAGTAGAGTTGTGATTGTTCATTGAGGTGGCACAGGTGACATTTTCAGCCCTCTCAGACACACACACACACACACACACACTTTCTCCTGCCAGACACACAGAAGACAAAATGCATCTTTAACAGAAGATGACTGTTCTCAGCAGGCAGTGTCATTCTTTTATTCCGCTTCTTAAAGAAATATTGTGGGTTAAATACAGCTGAAACCCGCAGGTGTTGTCAAATGTGGTAGTTTTAGTGTCATTTTGTTGCTATTTACTTGTACTTTAATTCACAACATACTATGTTCAAGTCAAGTGCAATAGGCCTGTTTATTGATGCTGTTTCTATCATTTCACAGTTTGAAAAAGACATATAAATGTACATATAAAACAGGTAAACCTGGTAACTTCCAGATGGTATTCATATATCAATGATACTAAGGATGTGACATACATATCTGTAAGTTCATCCATTTTTATATTTTCAGTTTTCATTTTAATTTTATTTTCCAATTACATTTTTTTATGCACTTTTATTATATTAATTTATTTTTAAATATTTTTATTTGGCTTTAATTGCTTTTTATTTCAGTTTTAGTCATGTTTGTACTTCAACTAATTTTATTTCAGTTCATTGTCAACTGTCAAGACAGCATTTTTAATTTTTTGATCAAATATTTAAATTTTTACTTTGTTTTAGCTTTATTTCAGTAAACAAAAACAATTTTGAATAGTTTTAGTTAACAATAACAACACTACAAATAAAATTTTTTGCATTAAAGAATTAAACACAAAAATGCAAGTTTCACATTTCTATTTCTAAACTTTCCAGAATTTCTATTGTAAGTGCATTGTTTTTTATATATATATATATATAATCAAGTCAAGTCAAGCTTTATTAATATATATATATTAGTTTTACAAACTAATGTGAGATTACTTTTCTTCATGGTTGAATTGATTAAACTTATTTGATATTAATATTCACAACATTATTGATTTGATAGGTCTTAATATATAGCCAACTGTTGCAGTTTCTGGTGAATGTGTTTGATTTACTCTTAAAACAATCAGGTTTGATTGGAAAGAGAGAGGCAAAAACATACTGCAATCAAACCTTGTCTGAAATCTATCAGCTTTCCAATGTTTCAAGATTTCCACTTCACCGTGTCAGCGGAGAGAGAGCGAGACGGTCGATGTCTGTGAAGGATGAAAGATATTCACAGCTATTGTGTCTGTAGACGGTGGCCACGCCCACATCTTGACATCCAGCCTGTGATTGGCCAGTATCCTGAATCCCAGCAACAGCTCTCGGGTTTCTCCTCCCACTTTTTGTCTCCACAAAGAGCTCAGCGCTGAATGAAGTGAATCAGCCTCAGACTGTTAGAACAGTGAGAACCTTTTCTCCCCGTCTCTCTCTCTCTCTCCGTCTGTCTCTTCAATCCCATCTCTCCTTCTCTCTCTCCATTTCTCCTCTTCTCTCTCTCACACACACAGAGACAAACGGCATTATATACTATCCGTCCATCCATCCATCCGTCCATCCATTCATCCACTGCACAGCCCAGTGAGGGATCAGCTAGACAGGGAAAAGCAACAGATCATGTTCTCTGAAGAAGATCCAGCACAGCTCTGAGACATCAGCCTCTGAGATGAGACTCCATCCATCCTAATTCTCTGAAGTCCTGAAGACCTGGACAAAAACAAAACAAAACAAGGACATTGCAGACACCAAAAACTCTGGACATCACATCTGGACAGGATTCTTGAACCCAAACCAGGTCCACAGGGACTTAAGAGGGTGCTTTGGTGTTTGTTTTTCTGTCTTGTACGGGGCTGGCGAAGGGGCCAGTGAAAGTTAGCCAAGACGCCGCGTGCTGTGCTCCGCGTGAAGAATGCCCAGGCGCGCCTGCCCAAGCCGGCGGACACGGCGCCGGCACCTACGCCGGGCCTTTACATGGAGCGCTCGCAGAGTCGCATCAGCTTGTCTGCGTCCTTTGAGGCCCTGGCCATCTACTTCCCCTGCATGAACTCCTTTGATGAGGACGATGGCGGTGAGTGGACTTATATGTGTGTCTAAGGGAGGTTTGGATTGCTTTTGACAAACTGTGACACCTGGAAGTTAGAGCAGAAGTAAGGCTTAGGGTTGAGATTTTGAGGTTACCGGTACTGCTTGCAAAAATGTGGCGATCTGGGCTGGAAGCCAAAAGGTTAGGGGTTCAAATCCCACAAGACCTATATGAGTGTTCACCAGTGTGTCCTCAAATGGATAGTTCCAAAACATAACAATGGCAATTTCGGATGAATTTGTACAATGTGATTTGTATAAAAACATAAAAGCTGTCTCATTTCATAGGCTGCACCCTCCAGAGGTTGCGTGTCGGTCACAAACAAAGATCAAGGATGTGTCATTTGAGAAACCATTATAAAATGTACTTATTTCTTGTGAGGTGTAAATTATTGTAATTTCTTTCTTTTTTTAATTTAATGGTTACTTTTCTGAAATGAGGCAGTTTTAATGGCACACATGGTCGATAAGTGTGACCTGCAGAGGGCGCAGCCTTTGAAAAGAGATACAGCAACAGTTTTTAGCAAAAAAGTAAGCATGAGGGTCCATCCCTAAACATAACCGTCAGTGGGATGTAAGCAGATCGTATGAAAACATATTAATTTGCAAAAATGTATAATAGTTACGAATTGCCATGAGATTCGATAGATGACCAAAAATGCAAATTCTGTCATCATTTCCTCACCCTTATGTCATTTCAAGCCTGTATGACTTAAAATAAGCTATTTTTTAAAGAATGATGCAACTGTCGTTCTCTATACAATCAAAGTCAATGGGGTCCAAAGCAACATTGGATTCATTGACTTTCAATGTATTGACAAATGTGTGTCAAACAGTCATACAGGTCTGAATTAACATGACACTGAATTAAGTTGAGTACATGATGACGGAATTTGCAATTTTAGGTGAACTATCTCTTTAACCAAAACACCCCAGGTTAATCCAGGAATATACTTTGGATAAAAGTGCCTTCTAAATGACAAGTTTGCTTTCACTCAGCTATATAATAATAACCATAATATTGGTTTTGGGACTCATTTGGGTCAGCAGCATTTAATTGGTGGAAAATGATGCTCAGTTTTTTTCCCAGTTTTGGGTTTTTTGCAAGCCCCCAACTCTTAAAAATGGTGCCACGTGCGTGGTTTGGATGGAAAGGCCATTTCATACTGTTCATTTTGATATGCAATAAAGAAAATGGGGTGGTTACTCACTTAAGTGGCGTTTGAAATCCGTATCTGCAATCTGAAATGGTAAAACAATTGATCTTTATGATGAATACATGCATATGCACACACAAAACGCTTCCTTCAGCCAGCATTCTAATCAGACAGACGCTTTTATTAATAAAGGCATATTTAATCACAGTGTTGACACTCAAATGCTAATATAGATGTGATTTTCTCCAGGTACGGCTGTGGCTCATTTCAAACATCTGATTGCAGGTTAATGTCTGTCTCAAATCCATCAGCAGACATCATGGCGTTAATTTAGTGCTCATTAGAAATATTCCAACTGCTCGGTGCACTACTTGCTGAGTGTTTTTGAGTTGCAATTTTGCATAATTTCCCAAGTGCTTTTAGTCTAGGCATGCTATAAATCTCTCTCTCTGTCCCTGTGTGCTCTCTTCCTTTCTTGATCGCCCTCGTTTCCTTTTTTTCCTGTCCACTCACCCAAAAAAACGTTTACACAGCCACGTCTATCCGAAACATCCACACCCACCCACGTTCACACACATACACACACACACACACACACACACACACACACACACACACACACTCTCCCCTTGGTAGAGACTCCTACTATGCATCTTCAATTTTCGCTTTATGCTTTAGTCTATAAAATTTTGCATACATTTGCATGATCATGTAATATTGCGTGACAATTAAGAATATGGCCGTGTTCATTCGTGTGCTATGTTGTGCTTGAATTTATAATGTATTGGTTATAGGCCTGTCATTTAACTAATCAGCTCACCGCATCTTCTTTTTTTGCTGATACATACTTGCATAATTCAACTTAATCAATGCAAATCGCACTAATGAATATTCTAATTACTGGAACACAAACGAACACATTGCAAGTGCTTTATAACACCTATTGCTGACTGGTAGATGACTGCAAATGCATTGGTGATTTAATAGCAAATAAGACTCAAAACAATGATATATTGTGCAAATTACAATTTGCTTTCTGGTTTTTGATATTTGACATACTATTTGGGATGGTTTGCAGCCATTTAAACCCGTCGTTTATGAACATGAAAACATTCTCTACAAAGGAAGGCGAAAATGCTGAACAAATGCAGTAATAAATGAACTTGCCAGTGATTCCGTAATAACACCCATTACTCACCGCTCAAACCCCGGGACATTTCTGACCACAAATACAGAAGCAAAATTATCTCGTGAAAAAACAAGACTCCCGCATGATATTAATGCTTTTCGGATGGATCCATTAATCAGAAGAACGAGTGGAGTTAATGATGTCTTTGTCAGTTCATTTCTGACAAAGAAACTGCTGAATGTGAAGGTCCTTTGGTTGTGCTATATGCACATCTCAAGACACCTGCAACTGATGTAATATTTTATTAGAGATGCATAGGTGATATTGCAATACATAAACCTTATGTTATCAAAAGGTTCATACTGAAACTGAGATGTACGAAACTGAAGCTATCAGAGAGGCGACTGCAGCAGTCTGCAGGCTAATAGATCTTTCAAATAATGAGCCATTAATTACTACAATTCACTTTTTAACAAGACAGCTGTGTTCTCAACTTTGTTCAAACATTATCTACCCAGATAACAATGGCAATTTCGGATGAGTTTATACATTGTGATTTGTACAGAAACATACAAGCTATGGCCACATACACAGATCAAGGATGTGTCATTTGAGAAAAGTAACCTTTATAAAATTGACTGTTATTTCTTGTAAGGCGTAAGGTATTGTCATTTCTTTCTTACTTTGGAATTTAATGGTTACTTTTTTTAAATGAGGCCGTTTCAATGACATATGCGGTCGGTAAGTGCAACCTGCAGAGGGTGCACCCTTTGAAAAGAGATACAGCGACAGTTTTTAGGAAAAATGTAAGCATGAAGGTCCATCCCTAAACATAACCATCAGTAGGGTGTAAGCAGATGGATAATAGTTACGAATTGCCATGAGATTCGATAGTTGACCCAAAAATGAAAATTCTGTCCCTCGTGTCTTTCGTGTAACCAGGCGCAACACAACACAAATATTTTTTGCAATGTAGTAATTTTCTAATCTTAATGAAAGCGAAAATGTGATTATGAAATGTATTATTTATGTTTATTTTATATTTTTTTCTTAATTTTTATTTATATATTTATTTTATTGTTTTTTTATTAAAGCCCTTTCTGGTATTTGTACAGTTGAATTTTGTGGTATTCTATTTTATTGTAATTCACTTCAATGCCAATAAAATAATAGACCACTATTAAATGCAGTTCAATACGTGGCACATAGGTGGCGCTTTTGAGTTATAAAGTGGTTGCCCTACAGTTTCTGGACTTCATGTTGTCATTTTGCAGCATTTCCGTTTTCATTCAGGGCAGAAAAACTGGCTGGAAACTTGCTGCATCACATCTGGTTAGGAAATGGTGTCAAACTGCATTCATCTTGAAGAAATGATGCCGAAAAAGTTTTATTTTTTAGCTATATTCTTAATGCACTAAAAAATACGATAACATCTAAGTTAACTGGTTTTATTCAAGTCAAAATGATTATTTAATATCGCTGAATAAACCTAAATACATTAATTTATACCAACAAATCTAGCTCTTAAATAGCTCTTAAATGTAACAATTGCAGGTTAGTTTGGAAAATACAAAATGAAGGCTAGAAAGACAAATTTTCAGGGCTTTTCCAAGTACAAATATGAGTGCTGTGTGATCACAGAAATAATTGAGAAACGACTTATTCCGGTACGTTTATTTTGCATATAAACATTTGATTAGTGTCCTCTCAAGCTTTCACAACTGAGTTAAAGTTTCTCTGTTCAGACTGCTTTCACCATTGCTTTTTTCTTCATTCTGTGTTAAGATTTAATCTAACAGCCCAACAAGGAGGTTCAACACCTATATAACACACTCGCTCCCCAGCCACGTTGACATGAAGGGCCCGAAGCCTTTGCGACGCACATCAGATCCAACGTTGCCTCCCACCGCTTGTCTTGGCGCATTCAGACTTCATCTTTCATATCCTGTTTGCTGTTAGCGCTGTTTGATGCAATGTGTACTAAGAATCCCAAAGCACAACATGTCTCGACTCCCCCCTAAAACGGCACAGGAACGAATCTCTGCCGAAGAAAAGCGAACGCTCTGAAGTCTCGAGGCTTATTAACCCTCCTACACTGACAGGCCCTGCATTGATGCTGCTGCTCAAAATAACCTGCAAACAAACACACGCATGGCATCAGTGAGATGTCATATGGCGGCAGGCGCACATTCTGTGTTGCATAAGAGCGTAGTGAATCAAGGACAGAGGAAAAGATAGAAGGAGGTCAGGATGATTGATACTTGTAGCATCCGTACAGTGCATTTGTGCGAGTGTCTGTGTGTCTGTGTGCATGAGATTTAATGCTGACACTGATTATCAGCATGTGTTTATGGCTCGGGTTTTAAAAAGCTGGCGAAGGATGATGATATTTATATTTTAAAATCAGGGTTAGGTTGGGAAAAAAAAACCTGTTTTGAAGAATCTTTGTGTTGGCGTTCACACATTCAAAAATTACATTTGATTCAGATCTTTGTTATGAAACAAAATTAAAAATAGCTTAAAAAATTATTTCAAAGGAAAGTGTTGCCAAATACTGTGCCTTACATTTTATATACTTCTTTTATTTCACATTAAATTAGCTTTTTAGTTTTAAATTAGAAAACAAAAACATGAACTACAATTTAAATAGTAATGATAAATAAATAATAATAAATGCATGCTTATTTCAAGAATGACTTGTTACTAGTACTATACATTAAAACTGCTCCAAAACATTTAATACAAAGTTCTGTCGTGAAACTCTAGATGGTGTAGGCCAGTAAGTTATAACTCAATTTGATGTAAACATTATTACTCACATGGTGCAGCTGATTGGTTTCTTTTCATATCAGCAGCCAATGAGCTTGCTGCTCAACATTCTAAGGCCACGTCTAGTGTGTTTTAACAAGAATTGGAGTATGTCTATAGGTGACCATATGTGCCATTTTCCCCCAGACACATCCTGGCCAGGAATTCTATATTGTCTAAAATATCCAGGTTTTGACTTTGCTTTCCTGTTTTCATACTTGATGAAGGTAATGATCGGAAAAGTAGTTTGACCAATAACATGCAGGCATTGTACATAATCGACCAATCGTGGCGTGTAAGAAGGTGGGATCTACAGAAAACAGGTCAAAGCGATGTAAATACATGTACATAACAGGTGTGTTTGACTTGAAGCAGCGCTGCGCAGACTGATCACCATTTGACATCAAAGTACTGTGAGAGCGGTTGCAGCGCGCATCAGAAACCCTCCACCTTCCCCAGCTCCACCTGTATGGATCTGCAATGGGATGATTTCATGTACATTATAAATGGGGGTTATTTTATATATGTTACATGTGCAGCAACAGTATTTCCTACATGCTCACAGCAGCATGTCTGTGGATGTATTGCCAGTAGCAAGTCTCGGCAGCAGCGTAGCAGATCTATTCCACCAAGACCAAACACATTAACGTTGCCATGTATATTACCATGCTAAACTCTCTGAGAGTTGTCGTGACAGAACTACAAATTGCACAGCTTATTAAAAAGAGTTGTGCTATTACTAGCATGGGCGTCGCTAGGCCATTTTTAGGGGGGCTAAAGCCAATAAAATGACTACTCAGCCCCCTTAAAATTTTGCGATTAGTTCCATAAACTGTACACGTATTCGTGATCGCCTCAGTCCCCTTTAAATTTCATATGAAAACGGTTGGCAGACTTCGACTCCTCCCGTCTTTCAGCGCGTTCTTTTTCAATTAGCAGACCGGCGGCGCATAGCAAGAAACAGAGGACAATGTGTGTGTACAGTGTGTTTAACGATAGATTGTTGTAATATCTGCATCTATGCAGTTCTTTGTCATAAATACAGTTTACAAAATATCATGGGGGAGCAATCGGTTCCCCATCTAGGCCTATTGTAGCCTAAGTTTTCCCTGCATTCACCCCTCATCACACCACAGCTGTTTCCTCCAGCGAAAAACAATGTGTGTGTACAGTGTGTTTAACGATAGATTGTTGTAATATCTGCATCTATGCAGTTCTTTGTCATAAATACAGTTTACAAAATATCATGGGGGAGCAATCGGTTCCCCATCTAGGCCTATTGTAGCCTAAGTTTTCCCTGCATTCACCCCTCATCACACCACAGCTGTTTCCTCCAGCGAAAATGAAGCACATATTTTATAAAACGATGTTGCCAGTTTCATTTGAATATATATATATATATATATATATATATATATATATATATATATATATA